CTAAAAAATGAAGAACAAAGATCATCAAAGGTAGAAAAAATATAAATACATGTTTTTTAAAAAAAATTTTACTATGAAGCTGGGCGTGGTGGCACTTTAGTGGGACTTTAATCCCAGCACTCGCGAGGCAGAGACAGGTAGATGTGAGTTCCAGGTAGCCTGGTCTACATAGTGAGAAGCCAGATAAAATATAAAAGTGAATGACTTCCTTGGGTAAAACACCCTTTTTAAGGAGCATCATGTGGAAGTCAACCAACCTGGAATTGAGAAAGGAACCTAAGCCTGTGGTTTGGTTACTTGACTTCTTATTAACATTCTTATAGAAGCATATTCAGGCAAGAGAATAGAAGAGTGATTAACTCAAACAGCCCTTTCCTTCCCTAGTGCACTCATGTAAGACTTACTTTTAAAATGTCAGGGTCAATGGCATTGAGTCCTTACTCACTGTACTTTGTGAACCCATGCAGTAGCTTAAAAAATAAAGCTTTACTTTAAACACACTTGTATCCTTTTAGTAAATTTTTAAATTTTAGTTATTCTTATTTTATGTGTATGAGTGTTTTGCCTGCATATATGTAAATGTACCGCAAGCATGTAATGCCCATAGAGGCCAGAAGAAGGCATCTGATCATCTGGAACTGGAGTTAGGGACAGTTAGCTGCCATGTGGGTGTTGGGAACCCATTTGGTCCTCTGCAAGAGCAGCTAGTGCTCTTAACCATTGAGCCACATCTCCCTGCATCCTTTTTTTGAGACAAGATTTCATGTAGCCCAGTTGGGCCTTGAACTCCTGATCCTTATGCCTCTACCCCACAAGTGCTGGAATTACAGATGTGTGCCAATCATATCTGGTATCCAAATCCTTTTATCCAATAATCCTAGATCCAACATTTATATTTTTAAAAATAAACTAAAACAAAGAATTATTACCAGTTTCTATTTTAACTGACAAAAACGTCAATTAAAACTCCATAATAGGGGACTAGGGAGATATCTCAGTAGGCAAAGTGTATAAATGCCTCAAAAGCATAAGGACCAGAGTTTGAACCCCAGAATCCATGTAAAAATGCTGACCATGCAGGCACAGGCTTATAACCCCAGCACTGGGGAGACAGAGACAGGAAGATTTCTGGGGTTCATTGTCCAGTAGCTGAATTGGTGAAATTCAGCCAATGAGAGACCCTGGAAGAGGTAGAAAGTGTTCCTGAGGATGACATCCAAGGTTGTCCTCTGGCCTCCACCTGTATGTGCACCCGTGCACCTATGTATATACACACACACACACACACACACACACACACACACACACCCTCCATAATAAAAATAATTAATGAAACCTAGTTAACATGCAAAAAAATCAGTAAAGTACACTAATATTACAGTATTTTTTCTAGTTATTTAAGGACTGTGTAAGGGAGAACATTTATACTAAACCTTAAGTGGAAAATACAATCAAAATTATTCAAGAGATGGGTGTGGTGGCATATACTTTTAATCCCAGCACTCAAGAGATAGGGGTAGGGGGATCTCTGTGAGTTTCAGGCTACTGTGGTCTAAATAGCCTGTCTCAAAAAATTTTGTCAATAGAAAAATCTTATCTATGAAATAAAATTTGTAGGAAATAGGCTAGGGATGCAGCTCAGTGATAGTGTGCTTACCCAACAATGTGTGAGGCCCTGGGTGCAATGTCCATCCAGCACCCACAATAAAGTAGTGAGATGAAATAAAAAATAAAATGAAACAAATATAAATGAAGACCATGAACCAATTTACTATTAGCTGCAAAAAAGTGATAGATTTTGGGGTGATAAAAACAGTCTTTCCAACAAGCCCAAGCCAGACAGTGTCCTAGAATGGATGGGGGAGGTAGGCAGGAAGTCTCAGCCTTAGCTGAGGATCATACTTTTTGGTTTGGAAAAGCCAAAGATCTAAGCAATTGACAAAGCAAAAGCCAAAGATCCAGGCAGTTGACAGATGCTGAGAGATGGAGAGTTGGTTTTCCTTACTGGTGTGATGCCTGGTAGGCCGACCATACTCCAAGGGATAGACAGACCTGAGAGCATTTAGGAAACACATATTAGGCTTGATAGACCTTTAATAAAAAAGAAAGTAATAGAGAATATGAGGTGGGGGAGAGCAAGGTTGGGGGAGAGGGGGTCTGAATATAAAACTCATTGCATGCAATTCTCAAATCAATAAAAATAGTTTTTAAAATTTTGACTTTTCTTTGTTCTGTTACTATAAAAACTTAGCAAAACTGCTTCCACGTTGGAACATGGAATTTGTGGTAACCTGAATCTGTATTCCTGGGTCATGGTCACACATATTTGGTTCCAGAATAAACTATCTTTTATCCCCTTAAAAAAAATTCTTTCCAATCTCCACACTTTTACAATGCAAATACAGGATATTTGCAGTTGAAAACAACTTTAGTATTTCAAAGGATCTGTTCCCATGCCACCCACAAACAAATGAAGGAGCAGACTGAAAGATCGAAACTATAAAAAAGTCGCTGTGATTCAAAAGTAGCTATCACTATGATTGAAGATGGACATTAACCAGAGTTGGGAAAAAAAATTAGAGAAGTACAATTGGATAGAGAAGTCTCCATATCATAAATACAGTCCAAAACCCTCATACTTTTTGGTTTGGAAAAGCCAAAGATCTAAGCAATGGTTTTCAACTGAAGGAAAATTTGCCCACTCCAGGGGACAGTTGGCAATATATTAGGAAACATTTATTTACTGTCAAAATAATTGGTGTTTCTGGCATCTAAGGGTTAAAAGGCCAGGTGGGATAGGGCTAAATACCCTACAAGGCATAGGACAATGCACAGACTCATCTGGACCAAAATGTCAATAGTGTCAAGGCTGGGAAACCTTGCTTTAAAGGGATGAAACAGAAATGGTGAAGCATCAAGAAGAACATAGAAATGATTGACTTGTGATTGAGTAAACACTCAATCACAGAACTAAGGGACAGTCTAAAGTCTAAAGGTAATTTTATCAAACAGGACTTCCAGCAATGCTTAGGAACTTGGAGAACTTATCAGTTCAAAAAGTGGAATAGAATGAAAGTATAAACAGGTTAAAGGGCTGAGATAAAATCAGGAAAGATAAATCCACAATGGTATTTGGAAACAATCCTTAAGTAAAGAGGCATCTGAAAATCTAGCTCCCTTGGGCTTTCAAGAAAATATCCTTCAGAACCATTATCAAAGACAGACATTTGAGTCAGATGACTAGTACATTTCTTACATCCTTAAGGGTCAATTCCTGCCCATGTAAGCAAAGAATCTTTAAAATTATCACTTGAATATAAATCCTGAGTGCTATAAATGTGCCACTTGCTCTGATTACCTCTGGTTTGGAGTATGCAATACTAATGCCAGAATGTTTGTGTGCCTGTGCTTTAGTTTCAAACTCATTCCTTTATTTAAAACAATTCAATCTACCACCAATTCAACACCATGGAAACCAAACTCTTCCTTTCAAGCGTGTTTACTGTGCATATCCTTCATTTTTACTATATTTTAGTACCCTAGAGATTAAAGACATTAAACATCTATCTAGAAACAGAAAAAACAAAAATAATCAGAAGAAAAAGAACATATCGTACATACTTTACTCTATCTCCTCCCCCTAACAAATCTTTATAATAGAGGACTTTTTCTTTATTTTCTAAATGAAGACCATCTTCATTGAGCATTCTAACATTTGCTTTAAAAAATTAAAACAACATATATGACTCATGAGCCTTCTGTTACCAGACTAGGAGTTGAGGTCAAGCAAGTGTTTTCCAAAGCCCTAAAGAAAAAAGAAAAGGAAAAAAGTAAACACAAATTTACCTAGGTAAATTTAGGTATGCTATTGCCACAGAGAGTATTCCTATGACAATTATCAATAATCCCTGATACCAGGAAGAAGGTTTAGCTCCCTTAATATACAGACTTGTTAACAAATTATTTTGGAATTTCAAATCTCTGACTAGAAATCACCCTGCATGGGAAGGCCAGATTGGAAAGTGAGTGTAAACCAGGGTGAGCAAACATTTTCCGTTAAGGACCAGGTATTTTTTGCTTTTTGTGCCATATGGTTTCTGTTTCAATTAATCAATTCTGCCATTGTAGGATGAAGGCAGCATTAGATAGTACATAAACAGATGAACATTACATCATTTCAATAAAACTTTATTATATTTATATCTGAGCTTTATATAATTTTTCAAGTATGATGAAATATTATTCTTCCTTTAGTTTCAATAACTTAAAACTGTGAAATCATTCTGTATAACTAATAATAGAGCATATCCAAACAAGTGACAAACTAGATTTGGTTTATAAGCCAGACCATGTAAACCTCTGGTCTAAACTACAAGAAAACTTTCTGTTTATGAAACAAAGCACATAAAAATGGAATCATTAGGCTGGTAAGATGTCTCAGTGGGTAGAGCACCTGCTATGAGGGTGAGGACCTTAGTTGAATCCCCAGAACCCACATAAACCAGGTGTAGTAGAGCATGTCTGTAAGCCCAGTGCTCCTACACTAAAAAAGTAAGATGGCAGTGGAGACAGGAGAATTTCTGGAAGCTGTGGGTCAGTTAGTTTGGCATACACAGCAGCAAATGACAAAGAAACAAGGTTGAAGGTGAGGACTAACACTTGAGGTTGTCATGTGACCGCCAAACACAACCATGGCATACATTCACTCATACACACACACACACACACACACACACACACACACACTTTATAAGCAAAGGAAAAATGAATTATGACTTTCTCACTCCACTCCCAATCTCTCAGTCTACAATTAGATTCCTACAGATTTCACTGGGAAGTTTTGGCCTAGGTGGCCTAGTCTATAATGTTGTCTTCACAGGTTTTAATGGTTCTAGTCCTTTCTAAATGAAAACTGTTTTATGATGTTCGGGGGGGGGGGATCCCCAGTTCTGATTGCTTTTAAAAAATCAGTATATTTTCTTTCATAAAAAAAAAATTATTGGGCACTGTCACAGGGGCTGCCCGGGGAGCTGGCCAAGGCGGTGGCCGGCAGCTGGGTGCTGGTGGTGGGCACGGGCGGCATCAGTTAAGAGCTCCTCAAGAACCTGGTGCCCACTAACTTCTTCTACATCGACCTGATTGATCTGGATACTATTGATGTCAGCACCTCAACAGGCAGTTTTTGTTTCAAAAGAAACATGTTGGAAGATCAAAGGCTCAGGTTTCCAAAGAAAGTGTACTCCAGTTCCACCCAAGGGCTAACACTGTCACTTACCACGACAGCATCATTAACCCAGACTATAATGTGGAATTTTCCCGGCAGTTTATATTGGTTATGAATCCCTTAGATAATAGAGCTGCCCCCAAACCATGTTAATAGGATGTGTCTGGCAGCTATGTGCCTCTTTTTGAAAGTGGGACTGCTGGTTATCTTGGACAAGTGACTACTATCAAAAAGGGTATGACTGAGTGTTACGAATGTCATCCTAAGCCAATCCAGAGAACGTTTCCTGGCTGCACAATTCAGAACACCCCTTCAGAACCTATTCACTGCATCGTTTGGGAAAAGTATTTGTTCAACCAGCTTTTTGGAGAGGAAGATGATGATCAAGAAGTATCAACTGACAGAGCTGATCCTGAAGCTGCTTGGGAACCAACAGAAGCTGAAGCCAGAGCCTGAGCAGCTAATGAAGATGGAGACATTAAGCGTATTTCCACTAAGGAATGGGCTAAGTCAACTGGCTGTGATCCAGTTAAACTGTTTACGAAGCTTTTTAAAGATGACATCAGGTATCTACTGACAATAATAAACTGTGGCACAAAAGGAAGCCTCCAGTTCCCCTGGATTGGGCTGAAGTACAGAGTCAAGGAGATAAAGCCAATGCATCCGATCAACAAAATGAACTGCAGTTAGGTTTGAAAGACCAGCAGGTTCTAGATGTAAAGAGCTATGCAAGTCTTTTTTTCAAAGAGCATTGAAACTTTGAGAGTTCTTTTAGCAGAAAAGGGGGGTGAAGCTGAGGTCATATGGGATAAGGATGATCCATCTGCAATGGGTTTCATCATCTCTGCTGCAAACCTCAGGATGCATATTTTCAGCATGAATATGAAGAGCAGATTTGATATAAAATCAATGTCAGGAAACATTATTCCTGCTACCACTACTACAAATGCAGTGATTACCGGATTGATAGTATTGGAAGGATTAAAGATTTTGTCTGGAAAAACAGACCAGCGTAGAACAATTTTTTTGAATAAACAATCAAACCCAAGAAAGAAGCTCCTTGTGCCTTGTGCACTGGATCCTCCCAATCCCAATTGTTACGTGTGTGCCAGCAAGCCAGAGGTGACTGTGCAGCTGAATATCCATAAAGTGACCGTCCTCACCTGACAGGATAAGATAGTGAAAGGAAAGTTTGCTATGGTGGTGCCAGATGTCCAAATTGAAGACAGGAAAGGGACAATCCTAATATCTTCAGAAGAGGGAGAGACTGAAGCTAATAAGCCCAAGTTTTCAGAATTTGGAATTAGGAATGGCAGCTGGCTTCAAGCAGATGACTTTCTTCAGGATTATACTTCACTGATCAACATCCTTCATAGTGAAGACCTAGGAAAGGATGTGGAGTTTGAGGTTGTTGGTGATGGCCCAGAAAAAATGGGACCCAAACAAGCTGAAGACACTGCCAAAAGCATCACCAATGGCAGCGATGACAGTGCTCAGCCTTCTACCTCCACGGCACAAGAGCAAGATGATGTGCTCATCATTGACTCAGATGAAGGACCTTCAAATAATGCTGACATTAGTGAGGATGAGAGGACTCGCAAGAGGAAACTGGAGGAAAAGGAGGGTGGCAGTGCCAAGAGGTCTTGCTTGGAGCCACTGGAAAAGCTTGATGACATCATAGCATTAGATTGAGCAGCCCTAGCTTCTGTCTGGGCAGAACCAGGTCATTATGTCCTCTGTTCCACAGGGAAAACACTACCACAGTGGCTCTGATGCTTCCATTCCCTTTGAAAGCGTTCATTTGCTAAGACTTAGAAACACTGTGTGCTGTATTGACAGTAGGAGTAGTTTCCAAAACCTTTGAACAAAGCTGTGCATAACCAGTGATGAGCTCACAACATGCTGTGCATGTTGCCTTTCAGTGTAAATACCCTTAGGTACCATTTCATAGTTCAAAAATACTGTGAGTTAGTAAAGCTGATACCTCGTTATAAATATTATGCCTTTATTTTTGGCTAGAGGAAAAGTTATTTTTAGCCTAGATCTAACCATTTTCATACTTTTAACTGACTGAAACAGATTCAAAGAAGTATCAAGTGCTATGCATTGAAACTTGTTTTTTAAATGTTAATCGGCACTATGTACATTAATGTAAAACAATGTTAATTTACTCAAATTTTCAGTTTGTACTCCCTGGTATGTCTGAAGAAGCCAATTTTTGTGTATTTGTTAACAGTTTCAAGTTATTTATATTTGATGTTTTCTAAAACTCAGACAACAAATATACTGTGCTTATGGACCAAATAATGACATCTGCATTCTTGTTAAAATATTTTACTATTTTTATTTTATGTGTATGAGTATATTATGGCCTGCATGTATGTGCACTCGTGTTGTGCAGTGCATGTGGAGGTCAGAAGAGGGTGTTGGATCCCTTGGAACTGGAGTTATGGACGGTTGCTAGCCACCATGTGGGTGCTGGGAATTGAATCCAGGTCCTCTGTAAAGAGCAGCCATCTCTCCAGGCCCAGTATATTTTCTTTTTAATTTATGTACATATGTTGAAGAACTTACCTAGGCAAATAAATAGGTTTCATATCTTCGCACACACATACACACACAAAAAACCATAAGTTCCTTTAATATAAAATACCATTTGCAGAGACTCTTAATAAAGTAATCTTATTGAAATTATATATAGTCATTTCTCCAGACAGAAACTTAAAAGAGCCAAGTGAATGGCTAACCACTATATTTCAAGCAGTTGGGAGTTAGAGGCAGAAGAATCAGTAGCTCAAAGGCATCCTAGGCTACATATCAAGTTTGAAGCCAGCCAGGGAAATATATGAGAGCCTGTCTCAAAAAAAAAAAATAAAGAAACTAAAAATAATTGATTTCTATTAAATTCTATTGAGCTTCTTTTCCATTTGAAAATGTTACCCACATTCTCTCCATCCATCCATCCATCCATCCATCCATCCATCCATTTATCTATCTAGTAACATCCACATGATTTAAAATAATAATCAAAATGACTGAGTATCAAGAAAAGTAATGTTTATCCAAGTATTAGGAAAAATAACAATCATGTAAGCTTGATATATATGGTCAAACACAAACGATTCAAAACTTCATGAGCAAGTCCAAATCCACTGTACACAAACTATTAATGCCATGCTAAGAGAGGGCAGATACTTCCCTAACCATGAGCAAGATGACAATGAAACAAACAAAAAGCAAGAGAAAGGAAAGAAGAGAATTTCTGTTTCCTAGACTTAAGGAAAAGAGAAACACATTTGGAAAGAGAGGAGCATGATGATAATAGAGCCCTAAAGGTACTTAGAAGTTTTGATTCACTAATCAGTTTCAACTGCACTAAAGTGTTAAAGAATGCTTGCGTAGAGATTCTTAACTACTCACAGGCCAAGAAGCCTGCATGGTTACTGCAGTTCTTGGTAGGAAAACCACTTTAACTATGATTCCAGATGCTGGCTGCTTATTCTGTCCATTGGGCAGAACCCAAATTCCAAGGGCCTGAATTTTCTCAAACTACGGATTCAAACAGGAGAAAGATCATATCCTAATAGACAAATTCTAGAATATCATTATCAAGGACATCCATGCAGTTGGGAACATCTATATGAGAGCACTTCTACAGCTACAGTAGCTATTGGCTGAAAACTTGCCCACAGACTTTAGACTAAGATATCAATGCCCACTATGGTCTTCACCCACCCTCGCCCACTGGGACAGTGGAACTCATGGAAGATGAAGCCATTTATAAGTTGCCTTGGGCATGGTGTTTTATCCCAGCAACAGAAAAGTAACTGATATACCTACTAACCACTTTTACTCAAATGAATCATGCAGTGACTACAAGAAAACAAAATGCATGATGAAAATGGTTTGTGTCCTCAAGGAGAAAAAGGTGGCTGGGATCTATATGCAGGGAATGTGTTGAAATGCTATAGGGTTTTGCTGCTGCTGTAAAAATGGGAGCAATAAAAACCAACTTTCATAACATGGTTCACATTCATTCTGCCTCTCCAGAAGAACTGGTCATACTATTGAGAACCCAAACACTTGTATGTCTGGCACTTGGACCAACAGACTTTCTGAGATAATCAAATGTATTTTCTATCTCATGTTTTATATTTTTCTTTAAAATCAGGATCTTCTGTTTAGTGTAAACCTTTAGTAAATAGAATTTTTGTGATTGGAAATTTATCGTGCTAGTCCATTTGAGTATATTTCACAATCATTAATATTTAAATTATTTTATTAACAGCTCTGTGCTAGTTGATTTCGCCTGTCTCAGTCTCAAATATAAAACTATATATGAAGTACAATGAAAATAATGTACCTGAATAAATGAACTACTGATTCTTTTTATATTTTATTTTTTATTTTATGTGTATGAGTGCATTGCCTGCATGTAGGTAAGTGCACCCGTGTCATGCAATGCCCTTGGAGGACAGAAGAGGCAGTTGGATCCCCTAGGACTGGAGTTACGGGCAGTTGTTAGCTGCCATGTGAGTGCTGGGATTCGAACCCGGGTCTTCTGTAATAACAACCAGTGTTCTTAACCGCCGAGCCATCTCTCCAGCTCCTGAACAGCCAATTTTTGTTGTTTTAAGACAGAGAACCTCTAACTTACTATGTTGCCAAGACAGGTCTTGAACGCCTGGATCCTCCACAGTAGAAATTTTTTTCTTTTTGAAATAGAGGGCTGGCATTACAGGATGTACTATCACACCTGACCTAGACTGCTAATCTTTATAGAAGCATATGATTGTAGATCTTTATATATAAATAATGCCAGTACACAGGAATATC